CAAGAGAAGAGATGAGGCTTAGCCTGCTTATCTTAGGTGCACTAGATATATCTCCTTGAATATGCTTATGCAGGATGTGTATGGTTGAAATTATTTATCAACCTAATGAGGAATAAAATCTAGTGTCACACTTCAAAATCTTGTTAGAGATTAGTAAGCCCAATCAGTAATCGACTAGATTCAAGGTGGCAATAGATACATCTTTCTAAAGAAGCCAACTGAAAGGCTGTGTTGTCTAAGAAATCGATGTATTTGTAAGGACCTACTAGAAAGTGCTGAGTTGAAGCCAACATCATTTCTCCAAAATAAATACAAAGAATTAAAAGGATAATGATTTTCGCGATATTTGGGCGATTTTGGTCTATAATATCTTTTGTTTGCTTTTGTAGCGTGGCGTGATGTATAAACTATAGTTAAAGTTTTCCTAAGAGGCTAAATAGGCGAAATTAGTATTATAGATAGCACTATAGAAGGTCTTTCAAAACAGGATAATCATCAGGTATTAGATAAAGGCCGAGTTCAGGTCTTCGGGATCCGCGAGGGGAGTCGAACAAGGTTAAGGAGCTGCTTGAACGACTTGATTCTTACGAATCCCTCACGATTCGCAAACCCACAAAGAAAGGAACTTGGCACTCAGAGAGACGAGAACAAACTCTACCTGGTAGAATAGAATTGGATAGTGATGAGAGGTCTATTTCTACGACGACTTCTAAGATGTATGAGGGAGGAGTCAGGAGTCAGGGTTTCCTAAATTCTGCCATTTTAAAATATTTAGGTGGCGACTCTGTATCTGGCAAAGCAGTCCATGTTTGGCACTACTTTTTCAAAAATCTGTTTCTCAAAACGATTTGCCAGATTTGGACTCTTTGGTTCAGATTAAGAACCGTGACACAAATCGAGTCCGAACTGTAGCATGAGGCCCCTCCGCGGGGCGCTGTTACAGTAATTGATTGCAATGTATGTATGATGTAGGAAGTGTATGAGAATAGTCTATCAATGTAGTGTTTTAGTTCAATGAATCAGATCAGTGTAGTGTGGAAAGTTTGAAATGCTAATGCGTCAGCAGAGAGTTTCATAGGAAGAAGTGCAAATTGAAGGAAATTACCAGAATCCTGTAGAGGCTGAGCAGATCCAGGCTCGTCTATACCATCTCTGTCAAGGAAGCCACTAGGTCAAGGGCCTGCCCTGTGTACTCTATGGGTGCCTGCAAGTGCATTGAAGGGATCAGTATTCTATAAAGCATAATTGAAATGAAGTAAATATGCAAAATGTAAAGTTTGGTACATACTGGGGTCGGGGCTCGAACTCCGACAAGCGCATGCCCAGGTGGTGCAGGCTCAATGGGGATCTGGCAAGTCTTCCCAGAACGTCTCCGATAAGTCAATGAAGTGGGCAACTCTAGCCATCCCGGCCCCTGTCTCACTCCGGGATCTCTCCTACCACGAGTCCTAGTCACTCTGGCTCCTCTACCTCTCTCCATCGTAACTGGAGCTCTCGCTTCCTCGCCTCCACGAACGCCGGTCAGAGACGGCATCAGATAAGTTTGAATGAAGGTCGCGTAGTCGCCCTCCAGATGAAAGTAGTCCGCCTCCAGTCCTACCATAAACTGGATCACCTCCTCAGCAGAAAGTCTGTGTATCTCTCTCATAGATACTGGAGGCGCCATCGGTATGAATGGGGCCGACAGTCCCAGAGTCTGTCGTGCAAAACGTTCATCTAAGAACCAAGCACAACAAATCGGGCCCTCAAGGAGAATATGACGACGAGTGGCGACCTTAGCTGTCTCGTACTGGGCTCGGAATCCTGGTGGTATTGCATCCCACAGCTGCCATGTAATCTAAAAAATAATAGATGATTAGTCGTTGTCAATTGACTAATGCATGTATCAAATTGATTGAAAAGTAAGATGGCTTTGTTTTGGGTTACCTCGTGCGCCGTAACTGTATCGAAGTAATGATAAAAAAACATGAAGTTTTCCCGGGTCCTATGACGGAGCTGGCCGTCGTATACTCAAGAAAACGGGACCGTCGCTAGGCTGGGGTCTCCTCTATGGCTCTGGAGCAAGAGCCGAGAAGTATGCATACACCCACAACTGCAGGAAAATGTGATTGGTATAGTGTATGAGCAGACACAGAAAATGCAAGACAGAAAGCATACAGTGTATGAGCTGTTACAGAAAATGCAGAGTAGAAAGTACATGTGTTGAACAAATGTAAAGCAGGAAATGCTAAACAGAAAATGTAAAGTGAAAAGGGGGAACTAAGCTATGTACCTCCCAAGCCCGCCAGTAGCCGCTGATCAAGGTCCCACTCATGCGAGAGGTTGAGCTCATGTATCCATACAGAGTAGTGAGGCCGGCTCCGCCCCAGTTGTAGAACTAAACTCCCCGGAGCACTACCAATGCGCTCAGTAGATACAGGCCTACGATATTCCACCTGTTCGAGAACAAGGTGGTACTGAGAAGGAACATGAGGAAGCCCCTGGCATACTGCTCTGTCTCCTCAACTATCTCAGGCTCAACTCCTTTAAACTGCTCCTCGAACCAGCTATATTGGACCATGCCTGCTCGGAGTATCGGCGGCTGTGCCCCAAGCAATGCAGTCCATGCTGCCTTCCACTCTCCCATGTCAAGATCAAGAGGGATCGGATCGCCCCCTACACCTAAGCCAGTGATCATGGTGAAGTCGTAGAGAGTCATCATCATCTCCCTCATCGTGGAGAAGTGGAAGGAGTTGGTGGTATCCCACCACCTCTCCACGAGAGCCCCTAAGAGAGGGTGGATCGCTACGACCCGCATCAAGCTAGAGTGTAGACCGCCCAAACTCGCTTCGCGCGGCCCCCCTTTTGTAGAGGGCATGAATTGGGTTCTAGCTACTACAGTTCGGACTCCTGTCACAGTTCTGAATCTAATCTCACAAAGTGCAAAGTAAGACTGATAAATCACCAAAGAATTCAAATCCGGCAATTGGTTTTGAAAAATCAATTTTGAATCAAAAAGTGCCAAACATGGATTGCTTTGCGAGATTTCAGAGTCGCCACCTAAATATTTTGTTTTTGGAAAATTTAGGAAACCCTGACTCGTGCCTAAGGCCACGTGTTTGTCGTCACCAAAGTTGCGTCGGCTTGGGAACTTGGGTACGAGAGGGGAAGGTCCTGAAATGAGCACCTCCGCTCGCCCAATCGAAGGATCGGCCTCTACTACTCATGATATGTTGTTTTGAAAACGCATGTGTTCTTATTCCGGTTATTAATCTAACTTACTATGTGATGAGCATATCATACAAGTATAGACTTAATCACGCGGATTGGAACAAAACAACTCATGTTTGTTTTTGAAAGTGGTTTGAAAGTGCTACTCGCAAGTAGGCTAAAGCGCGGATTTGCCACCCTCAAGTGGGCTTAGAAAAACATGATTTTGCCACTTCAAGTGGGCTTAGAACTCATAATCATCGAGTTGTTCCAATTCAGGCAATCAAACCTTCATCCACAGGCATTTATGCATTTAAACACATAAGCACATAGCCTCATGGCATGCATGCTATCATGGTAGTCACTTACACACATGCAAGGATGCTAAAGCATAAACACTCACAGTGTACTCCGAGCCAAAACAGAAGCTAGTTAGAAATCATGCATGATCCTAGCTATGTTAAGATGCCTAATGCAACACATGCAAAAATGTAACTAAAATAGGCTCGGCTATCTAGAATGGCATATGAATGCAACACTTGATAACATGCTTTGAAACACGTGTTCAAGAAAGTGTATTAAAGTACAATGCAGTTTGTATGATGTACCGAGCCCAGTGCATGTAAGACAAAATGAATGATGCATGCATGCAAAGCATAAGTATGCTAATTGAAACATGCCCTAAACTAACCATCGAAAGCTGATAAGTAAAAGGGACAAAGAAATGGGGTTGGAAGACATGCATCACACACACGCACACTTATTACAACATTTGCCCTCTCGATGGAGGGTCCGAATAATAAGCTAACTAGCTACGCTAATTAAACTAATTATTACAAACCAAAACTAATTAACTATTCCTAGTTAACTAATTATTACAAAACAAGTCGATTAATTAAGCACATTAACTAATTAAGTACAAAATTGATGAATTAGCTAACTAAGTAGAGCAGCTAAAGCAGTTAAAAGAGGTCCTCGAGGGGGGAGGGGTGTATGCATGCTCGATCACCTTGCTCGGAAATCCATTGCTATGCCCAGAATTGCCTCTGTTTGCATTTGATTTGATCTCTGAAAAGTGCACAAACTTCCAGATTGCTTCTGCTCCAACATGGGGACCTCCTGGTGCACTGCCGACTAGAAAAAGGGGCTGTAGACCAGAAAAAATGGTCGGCCGACCACCCTTACTGGTCGATCGACTACTTCTTGTTGTCGGTCAACCAGCTGATTCTCCAAACTCCAATTTTACTGCAACAGAGAACAACAAGGGCCGTAGCAGTGTATTTGCAAGATATGTGTGCACAACCACCCTCCATATCATTTCTCAGGCTCAAGGGAGTGTGGTTCTCGACTCTCGGGCCGCCAACCAAGCATTGCAATGCACGATGGTCGAGAAGCCAAGATTACACGAGTCAATGAATGCACAAATAACACATAAGAGCCTCCACCTCTATCATACATGATCAAGAGGGTCGGCGACCAAGAAATGCTATACGTTTCATCACTTTGAGTATGAAACGTGCCACATTCCTCGTGTTCAGATTAACGTCCGATCCAAACACATGCAATGCAACTCAAGCATGTTATCTTGACATGTTTTGCTTGGTCTCATTTTGTTTACACATTTTAAGCTTACCAATTAATCCTTTAATTTATTTGTCCAAATGTGATTTTTCTCTAATGGGAAAGATGGTCTAAACCACAAGTTCCTTAAGCGTGAAAGAAGCCTCATGCTTTTGGTTAGTAGAAGCCCTCAAGAGAAGGCTAAAACCATTAGGCATGAGAGCCTCAATTCCATGCTCAAGCCAACAAGGGGCTCAAGACCTCTTTCAAAGCAAATGAAGGAGTAAACAATGGAGTGCAATGGCATAATTTCAGCACTGAAATGACATGCTAAATGATGCTAAAACATGCTAACGATTCATGCAATGCATGCTAGAAGCCAAGAATACCAAGGCTAGTGAAGGACACAACACTAGAGGTATGCAATACAATGCACAAAGGACTAAACCAACCCCAAACAGACCTCATGCATGCCAAAATAGTGGCTAAAATGGACTGAAATGATAGCATGAAAAGCAAGAAAACGCATGCGCAAATGATGGTTCGCAAGCAAGGCACAAAGCTTAACTCTCTAGAGCACTTAAAGAATGAAAAATATGGAAGTGTGGTAGATATGTATGCTCTGAAATAACATGCCAAATGATGCGAAAACATGCAAACATCACATGCACAACATAAAGGCCCCACAACTCAAACCTAGTCAAGGCCCTTTACACTACAACCATACTAAGCAATGCTCAAATGACCCTAACCATCCAAAAAAGTCCTAAGGCAGGTCAAAACAGTGGCAAAAACATGCTAGACTTGTAGCATAGATGGCAAGAAAAATAAGCTCATGTATTGGCTCACACACAAGGCATAATGCTCAACTTCTCAAAGGCATTGAAAAAGTGATTTATATGAGAGTATGACAGTGAAACATGCTCTGAAATTATATACCAAATGATGCCATATCACACAAACATCACCAATAAGGCATGCTAGGGGTCTCCAAACACAAGACTAGCAAAGCCAATTACACTATAGCCATACAAGGCAAGCCATACATGACCAAGACCACTTGGAATAGAGTTTAAGCATGCTAAATCAAGGCCAAAAGCATGCTGAAATAGAACTAAAGCAAGCTAGAATTAGAGGCATAAAGCATGATGCATGTTAAGCCTACAAAGGGGGATTGCACTACAAGTACAAAAACCAAGCAAGAGGTAACCCCATCAACTAAAATCAGAGTTAAATCATGGCAAATAATGTCTAAAAACATGCTTGAACTAAGCAAATTCAAGGCACAAAGACATGCTACTTTGCAAGGCCACAGGTAGGATTACACTACAAGTGCAATAAGCATGCAAGAGGTGACCAACACAGCCAAAAACAGAGTTATGGAAGGTCTAAAAGTCACAAAAATGAGCCTAAACAAAGCCACAAAGAAGTAAAAACACATGCTCATTTGCTTGGCCATCAACACATGCAAACAAGAGAAGAGGAGGGGGGACCACCCCCACTATTTGGGACCTCAAAACATGGTTTTTGTCACTAAAAAACCTCTGAGTTTTAGTGGTAAAAAGGCCCAAAAAGTTGGATTTGAAGGTGGTGAGAAGTTGCACAAAAGGCCTCACAAGCCAAGGAACAAAAAGGGAGAACAACCCCCTAGCCAAACAAGGCACAAACCAACAGTTTTAGGACTGAAAAATAGAGGTTTTTGTAGTTCAACACCACCCCAAAAACAGCCCCAAAGTAGTTGAAAACCATGGCAAAACAATAGTGCACAAAGAGCTTAAAAGGGATAAAGGGTTACCTTTGAAGCATAGCAGCAAATCAGCCTCTTTTCTGAGCCAAACAACCTTGCAACAACCCAAAAATAGGTTCCAAGGGACCTCAGCCCAATGGTGATCAACTTTGGTGAAGGGTCTCTTTGCA